CTAAGAGGGGGACGGATATATGGTCTAATTGTGAAACACATGCATCCTATTCAGACTTTTTCTGGAACGGTAGGATCTTGAAACTCCAATATCATAAACAAGCTATCAACTCTTTCCCCACTGACTGATCTTAACAGTCTTTTAACTCAACTCACTTCCAAACATTGAATCCTCCGTTTTAGTTTTTCAAGATCCTTGTCCACTGGAATCCCTGTTATTACTCCCCTTGTTATTTTATTTTGCCCTCCTTTCTACCACAATCTTTTTAAATATACTCTCAATATAAATTATTTACTATGAATTAATTTCTCCTATCGCCAGTTTCCAACTTGGTGTTCCAACCAAACTTTCATCCTCACCCCACTTCCTACCTTGTCCTTTTCTACCCGTGACCTCCTTCAAAGAATAAAACTTCTTACTTTAAATGTCCTCCAGTCCTGCAGAGGGCGCCAAAAAACTGTTTGCAAAAAATGGATGCAGTGACTTTTTAAGTGTTTTAAATCTAACACGTACATAACGTGACATAATTTTGAGTATAATTATTTTCTACTTATGTGGATATAGTATATCTGCAGCACTGATTTGATTTTTAGTGAAATTCATATAAATTTTTAATAACAAACATCAAGTGAAAAAAAGGTTTGATAAATTTTTTTTTTTTTTCAAAAAGACATTCAGGAATAATACACATGTATTGTTTTGTATTTCAGTGTTGTAACCTGTTACACAAAACAAAGTCATGAAATATGTCACCAATATAAAGGCAGCAGAATTTTAAGCATAGATGAAAATTATTTTATGAAAGTTTGTCTATATTTGACCCAGAAGAGGTCAGAGGTCCAAAGTAACCTGATATTTACAATCTGTGGTCGCAAATTTTGAAGCCATCCTGATAACCTTCTCCCACCAACGATGTGGAGATCCAACCTCTTTAGATCCAATTAAAATCAAGACACTCAAAAAGATGCTCTGGAAAAGAGTAGAATTCTTGGAACAGAGTTTAATAAACTGAATCATATGAACAGCAGGAAAAATACATACAGACATTTAGCAAGAAAATTACAAAGCAGAAAGCAAGCAAAGCAAAACCCCGGGGTGTACAGCCTTAAGCACAGACAGCAGAGCAACACAGAGGCGGACAGGAAGCAGCAGCAGGAGGAAAAGAGCTGGGGGTGTCCTCTGGTCCTCTAATATACAGGGACCAGTATCCCCGCCCCCTGCTGCTGAGTAACTTTCCCACACGCCCAAACACAGCTGCAGGGGTCAGGTACGGGCAGGGCTCTGGCTGAGGGCCCTGCCCAAAGGGACACCCTTAGGTTAACCCTTTGCTTTGCCTTCTGACAATAGGTCACAACATGGTCAAAGGTCACACAATAATCCTAATTATTAAATCTTACACAGCAAGTGGCACAACCTTATAGCTACATCAGTGTAGGTTCAAAGTATGTGTGTGTGTTTGTGTGTGTGTGTGTGTGTGTGTGTGTGTTTATATCGTATGATATTCTATTGTGATGTGTTCAGGATCTCTGTTACAATGTTACTGTTTTGGTTGTGCTGCATGAAAGACGTTGAGTGTGTATTAGGGAAGGTTAGTTACCGGAGCTGGAGAGTGAGTTATTCAGGCGAACTCTCAACGGCATTAACTGCCCTGTTACTGTAAAACCTTAATAAACCATGGTGAAGCAAAATGTCTTGTGCTTAAGACTCTGCATGAAAGTTAAAATATATATGTTCAGTGCACATAGATATATAGTGTATATAGTTACATAGTTATACATATTACACAAAAATCCAC